CAAAAAAAAAAAAAAAAACCCCCCCCCCCCCCCCCCCCCCCCCCCCCAAACAAGCTGATTTTAAAACAGCGTTTCCTGCTTGAATATGTTCTGGATTTTACCCTGCATGATGAATTCCAAATTTGAAGGCACAGACAAGCAGGTATTTTCATCTTTATAATCCAGGGGCATGAGTTGTAAACTGCTAAAGCTCTTTGCTTTACCTGTGACCCATTAAGTACCTGATGAATATAGAAAATTATGATCTAAAATTCAACATGTAATTCTACTTTGTAAGATCTTTAGTGATGGTGACTTGATGAATGGCAGTTAGGCTTGCAAAATCAATGTGTTAATAAAAAAAAAAAGTATTTGTTCTGTTGTATTATATGGAAGTGCTTGGGTGTTGCTCTCTAGTGTCAGCAACATGCTTACCTCATAGATGATCATTGTATTTGAACCAAGAAATAGGTTTCATAGACTAGAGCTTTGATGTCAAAGTGATAGGGGGTATGCCAGGATATTAGATACATCTATTTCTCTCTGCTTTAACTGAATTCAGCAGTTGTAGTAACTTGGCATGTCTTTGCTACATCTGTTACAGAATGGACAGCAAATTGTTGATGAACCCATGGGAGAAGAAGATATCAATCCTCAAACTGTAAGTAAAATATAGCAAATATAAGTATAAATAGCTTAGCTTTGGCACATGGTTTCTGGTCACCAGAATTAGGGGCCCTCTGCTCTGTAACTTCTCTATTGTAAACCTTGTGTTAACTAGATCTATAGTATGTCAAAGATACTATGTATATGAAAAATTTCTTCCTCACTAACTGATTCAGTACAGTATCCTTTGTTAGATACAGCTTTGTTAGTGTACAGTTTAATGTTTTGATTTTTTTTTTTCCTTTTCAGTGTGCAAGGTTTTCTCTGGAGAACAAAGTCGTATAGTGTAGAAATTGTCATGGGAAACTCATACCTGCTTCTGGATCTGGGTTGGGCCACCCCAGCTGACCCCCACCCCTGGCCCAGGTTAGGTTGGGTCATGCCTTTCCCCTCCCCCCTCCTCCAGCTAGTTTAGGGCCTGGCCATGCCTCCCTCAAGCAGGACTGGGCCACTTTGGAGTCAGCTAAGGCTTTCCTGCCTTTCCTTTAGGGATCAGCAGTTCAGGGGCTGACATGACACCAGAGCAATGTATCGTGTCAATAGACAAGGAACAAGATATATAGGTCACAAGGCTAAAAGGACTGCTGTTAGCTATTCTGATTTTCCAGGTTAACACAGGCCATCGAATTTTCCTGAATTAATTCCTGTTTGACCTAGGACACATTTTTAGGAAAATAATCTGACCTTGATTTTTATATATTTCGAGTGATGGTGAACTAAACATAGCCAACCCTTCATAAGCAATTCCAGTGGGTAGTTAACTCTCACTGTTAATTTGTCTTATTTGTCTGCCTTTTTATCTAGTTTCATTTTGCAGTTATTGATTCTTTTTGTCCCATTGTCTTAGAACATTTGTCTAAAGAACTCTTGCATTGTCAAATTTCTCCTGCAAGAGTTGATGACTTCACAACTAACAGATTCAGAACCTTTTCCTGTACTTGATTCAGTCACCTTCAAATAGCTTCTTTCAGGAAATCTTCTGCTAACTAAAACTATATTTGATGGCATAAAATTAAATTACAAATGTACCATTTCCTAAAATTCTCTATTTTGTTAGGAGATTTTTGGTTGGATCTTAAAGTACAATTGATTTTTTTTTTTTTTTTTTTTTTTTTT